TTAAGATGTCTGTAGAAACTGTCACTCGAGGACCGGCATAGCCCCAGTCTCAAGGCACAGTCTCTCTGAGGTCTGGGCTGAATGCCTGAAGTGTTCAGCAGGCCTTTCCACTCTGGCTGATTGGAACTTCCGTGGCTCCAGTGCACTTCGGCCTCTGGAATCTCCAGGAAGCTCAGGGGCCTCAGCAGATGTTCTCCGGCCGGCCTGGGTCTGGTTCTGCTAATGTCCAGCCTGGTGTTAGATGGAAGACTCCAGGGGCTTAGACAACTTCTTGAGCCCCTGTGTGTGCAGCTACATTCTGCTCTGGTGTCCTGCCTCGCACATTCCAATCCGCAGTAGCCACAAGGCTCCCTCTCAGACCGTCCACTCAGAAACAAAGTGCTGCTGTGTGGAGCTCCTCTGTGCTGCGTTTAGGGAGCGTCCCCAGGCAGAAAGCTGGGCTGAGTGCGACTTCACTCCATGCGTTTTCTTCCAGAGATAGATAGATAGATGACAGAAGGATCAGTTGTATATCCACTATTCTGTCATGGTTGCAACTGGATTTCCCACCTTTATTTTAAATATGTATTTCACTATTCTATGATTATCTGTGTGTGTTCCTTCCCCAGGGAAATGGCTGAGTCTGGCCATTTTTGCACCTTTGACACCTAACAATCCCCTTAAATTGTGCAGAGTAAATTATTTTTGAATGAATTAATATTATATATTTCATTTACAAAGTAGTAATTTAAATTTTATGTTACACTTGTTCAGAATTGCAATTATTTTATATAGTAAATGTATATGGTTATGTTATTTACATGGCAGGTAACATTATATATATATGTATATATAATACATGATATATATGTTTAAAGTGTATACACACACACACACACATCTTGTAAAGTTAGGAACACATACACATGGCTTAAAATGCAGAAGTTTTAAAAAGCGAAGCAGTGAAAACTTAAGTCTCACTTGCTTCCTTATTTCCCAGACAACCAGTTCTGCTCTCCTGAGACAACGTCCTCCAGTTCCTCCCCACCCCTCCTGGAAGGATCCTAGGAATTCACAAATATAAATAGTATGCATTTCCTGCTGCCCACGTTGTGGTATACTGATATTTCCCTCTACTTAAACTTACACAGGTACATTGGAGCTCTGCAGTCTGTGTGTGGATGCCCCCAAATCTGTTTATGTCTGCTTCCATTGCAGACCACTGAGGCTGCTCTCAGTTGCTTTCTAACACAAAATGCTATGAGGAGTCGCCTTGTTTGCTGCCATTTCACCCACACAAGCCTATAAGCAGAAGCAGAATTCCAGCCCTGGGGCAGATTGGATGTGCCTACCCACGCTGAGGGCAGATCCTTGCCCCCTAGGCCACTCAGGCTCGCCTGCTGCCTGACTTCTGGAAACACCCTCAGACACACCCCAGTAATGTTTGGCAGGTTCCTAAGTACTTCTTAATCCAGTCAAGGGGATCCTTAAGCTAACCGCCACAGCAATCTGGACAGTGGCATTCAAATGACTGCACTTCTCGGCTGCTCTTATAACCAGGCCACCAGAGAGCAAAGGGAAGGCTGGCCTCAGACGCTCAGACTCATCCATGACAGTCCATGTGAAAAGGCCGTAAAGCAGCCAGAGCAACGTGCAGCAGCCACATGTCACCAGAGAATAAAGGCTGACTTCCTCGTCTGGCTGTGATGGAGGAACAGGGTCCCGAGTCACCTTCCAGTCTTGAAAAATCAGTAAGATGGAAGAAAATAACACAGAATGGTGTGCAGACATTGGCCATCGGTGGTGCAGGGCTGAGAGAGAGGAAGGAAGTGAAGGAGGCGAGCTTCCAGGAGGGGTTCCAGGCTGCTGTGCAGGAGGGGAAGCAAGAGAAACGCGGTGGGCTCCGGAGTGGAGAGGAAGAGACCAGCTGTGAGGAGGCCAAAGTGGCCAGCCCCGGTGGTGAGTCCTGGAGAGAGCAGAGCTGCAGCGGGAGGCTCCTGGGAGCAGGGAGGAGCTTGTCTAGCCATCCAGCTGGGGCGTCTGCAGAGTGATGAGTCTCAAAACGAGAGCCCGCTTCACTTCGTTATATGTGCAAAAATCAACTCGAAGCAGGCCTCATTTTAAATATAACAGCAAAACTATAAAACTTCTAGGAAAAAAAAAACACAGAAAATCATCTTTGCCATCTTGGGTTAGGTAAAGATTTCTTAAATATGATGTGTAAAGCATAACCCACACAATGAAAAGATTGGTAAATTAGACTTCACCAAAGTCTTAAAATTGTATTCTTCAAAAGATGTTAAAGGACGATTTTTAGAAGATTTTATGTAAAAACCGACAGGACCTGGAAATAGCCATCTTGAGAGGAAAATTTCTGGTCTTTAAATACTTTGATTATTAATGCAAAAAATTAAGGAAATTAAATATTTATTCCAAAAAATTAGAAAAGGAGGAACAAAATGAAGGACAGTAATAGAATAGCAGTAAAACCAAAATGTAATATTAAAAACCAGCAATCCAGAAGATGAAACAGACGTGTGGATAGGAACCGAGAGCACAGCAGAGACGGCCAGCTCAGTACCTTCCTGAGTTCTCAGTTCCACCCTTACCCTGGGTTCTGGCTCTGATCAAATATATCATTGTGCTCTTAGACAAATCTGCATTAATTTTTAATATGTAAATAACCTTAATGATTTCGGCTTTTCAGTAAGTGAAAAGTGTAAGGCTGAAATACTTGATTACATAGACATATTAGACTTGAGTCAGTGTAAAGGTCTATGAATTCTCAAATACATGGCACGATTGAAATGCAAACAAAGAAAGGAGTATATATAAATATGTATGTACATATGAAGATATATACATGTGCAATACACAAAACTGATAAAGGTTTACTGTACAAAATTTTATAAATAAAAAGAAACACCTCTACATAGTAAATAAACCAACACTATAAACAGAAAACGTGTGGCAATAAATACACTTGGAAATAAACACATTAAGATATGTTAGCTGCCCGTGATTTAGAGAACCCCACACATCAAGCTAGTCCTTGTCGCTCGGCTTCTGAAAGAGTAAAGGCTTGGGTGGTGTTTGGTGGCAGGGAGCCTGGAACATAAGGACTGCAGCACAAAATGCCGTGGGCCAGGCTTGAGACTAGATCCGACTTTCTACTGTGCGTGCAGCGTGGACCTGGAGATTCTCCTGAGAACTATCCGGGGAAACACTGTACAGTGTCAGTAGCTTGAAGAAGTAAGGAGCGTGGCACCATTATGGGCAGAGCAGTGAGGAGTGGAGCCCACCAGCAGTCCCAGAAGGACCTGTGTGGGAGTCGTGTGATGGCACCTGGCTGTGGACACAGAGGAGCGCCCTGGCAGCTGGCTGAGGTTCTTTAAGGCAGATTATGAACTAGAACATGCAGTAGGACTCAACTTCAGTATAAATGTGTGTGTGGACGTAAAGACGTGGATGTGAAAGCCATGCCCAGCTGCGGATAGGACAACTCTCTTGGGGTAAATCGTTTGTTCTTACTTTTTAAAAATTCTTGTCAGTCCTGTTGGAAATCCTTCTCGTAATGAGCATAGATAGTGTTTGTATCATGATACCAAATTATTTTTATGCTGGTAGGAGGGCTAGAAGGAAGAAACTTGAAATTCCACTTTACTTCTTAAAACTGTAGTCAAAACAAGTAAAATTCAATGGAAAAAGAAAAAAATAGTTTTCCCCAAACTATGCAACGCTGTGAGGATGTAGCAGTGAAGTGGGCACCCTGGCTGTGACGGGGAGGGGTGGGCAAATCGGTGCTTTCTCTAACGAGCAGCAAGCAACAGCTTCAGTCCAAATTCACGTATTTTAACTCACATCCAGAAAACTAGCTAGGAGATAATTAGAGACGTGGACAAAAATTTATGCCTAGAATCTTCCTGCATTATTCTTTTTCAGTCAAATCGAAACAACATAAATGTCCACAATAGTGGAGTATATGTGTACCTAGCTCCAATAGTGCATTCAACCCATGTGTGCTGTGTCTCCTGGTGCTGCTCTTTGGGAGAGCCTGGGGTTCAGTGGTGTGCAGTGTACACATGCCCACCTCCTACAGCAGTGTCCATCTTCACAGGAAAGACAGTGACCTCACTCTACATGGGGCTGTCCAAGAAAAGTGCAGGATACCGAGGTGCACAGATGATATTTCTGTACAATGACAGAATGCCATGGGAAGATAAATGAGAAATATGCTGTGAACTTCTTTTTACCACCTCGAGAAATGGTGTGGGAGTTCCTCTGAGGGCCAGAAGTGACCTTTTAGAGACTATTAACCACTCAGCAGAGAGGACACGAGGGAAAAGCCCTGAGCCAGAGTGTTCTGAGCCGCCTGCACCAGAACACTAAAGCAAAACCTCTTCAGTTATCATTTAAATAGCATGCAGATACCATCCAGTTTGGAAGAGGAAATTTGAAAGACACACCTCCCTGAGAAGGTATAAAGGTAAGGAGGTGTGAGCCCACAGGACCTTTGACAAAGTCCTAACTAACCTCCTTAGGGTCTCTCTTGGGAGCAGTGGTAGGGAGATAACACTCCCCCTTCTTGAAGGAGTGGGGCTTTATGCTGGTGGCTGCTGGAATCACCAGCACTTTAGGGGTAAAGTGTTGTCTCATTACTTAGGAATTGCAATTCTGTCCTGACATGGCAGACTGAGCTGACTTTGACGGCATGACGAAGGACTATAAATTAATCGAATGATTGAGGAAGTCCTTGGAGACTGTGCTACCCCTGTTCATGCTGGTTGGCTGCAGCCATGGTAACCTCTTACTCCAGACCAAAGTCCAGGCTCTGCTGAGCTTTATGACCAGGCCCAGGGTTCAACGTCCAGCAGCACAACCTCCTTTGGGAGAGCGAGGTTTTCTATTCCACAGCAAATTATTGGACTCCATTTCTAACACTGGACTCCAAATGATAAGGTCCATAAATCTTATAAGCAGATCTTTATTCTTTTACCCTAGGGAAATCATCTCCCTGAAAAATGCCGACAGCGCAGAAGACCTTGATGTTCTTGTCTGGTTTTCTCACGAGCCTGGGGTCCGTCATCGTAATCTGCTCTATGCTGGGGACCCAAGCATGGATCACCAGTACAGTTGGCATCACAGACTCCATCTCCAACGGCAGCGTCACCATCACCTATGGTCTTTTTCGTGGTAGGAGCACTCAAGAAATTGATCAAGGACTTACAGAACCAGACAAAGACTTTGAAGGTAATGGTGAGCTCATGTGAATGGTACAGTGAGTGTGAATTAAGATTCATGTCATTCTGTGTTTGGGCCGAGTGACCACTTGAAAATAACTGCCTTGTACTTGCTGAGTGAGGCTGAAGACCAAGCCTACTTCTTAATTTTGAGAATTCACTGTGTTATTGTTTCTACTTCCTGAGTTCTGGCTGTGTCTTTCATTGCAACAGTCTGTCATTCTAGCAGTGGCTGTGTGTGGATGGTGCCAAGTTTACTGTTAAGTCAACAATTCAGCAATGATAAAACTTCAGTAAATATATATAGGGACACTCTGGTGTTCGATCGCCAGTAGGAACCGCATTTTAACTGAATTGACTATGGATTTTAAATTGGGCAAAAACCTCTGTCCAGTACTTCCTAAATAACATGATAGGGAAAAAATAAAATGGAAAACATTCCACCTCTGTTCCTACTTCTCAGCTTCGTTTCTTAAACCAATTTGAATTTACATTCTTGTCTTCAAAATATCTTGTTGTTGGAAATAACATGTAATTTCTACTGATTCTATTAATTATGTATTTTATAGGAACCCCTATTTTTTCCTAATTTCTCATATAATAATGCCTTCCTCTCAATAGGTTTAAAATTACATTTGTTGAGAATAATAAGTTGATTTGGCTACTTGACTTTTGAAATTTGATTACTATCAATATGTTTTTAAAATCTTAGAACTACATTTGTAAATTGTATAACACAGAAGAGGACTTCATTTTGAACAGTGATACATATAGATATTAAAGAGGCATTAGCAGGTATTTTGCAACATTAACTTTTAGCTTTTAGATATTTGTCATTTTCAACCTTATACAAAGACAGTGTTTAGGTTCTGGCTCTAGTTTGCTTATGACTGTGTGTGACTGTGTGTGTGTGTGTGTGTGTGTGTGTGTGTGTTGCTGAGGATTGAACTCGGGGCCTTGAGCATGTGAGGCAAGCACTCTACCAACTGAGCTATATCCCCAGCCCTGCTTATGACTTTGTTAATGAAGTGATTCCCTTAAGTCCAAAGCAGTGTGGTTGTGTGTCCCAGTCACAGGCCTGTCTTCCAGGTGTTGTAAAAGTTCCCTCTCCCCTGGCATTCAGCAGCTTCCCAGAGGGACCAGGAACATTTGCTCTACAGCAGTTAGAAGTTCAGATGTCAGTAATTCAGTCATATTTTTAGTTATGTGAGTACCATTTTCAAAATGAAAAGGGAAGTAGTTTCTGAATCTCTAGACACCTAAAAAAATTAAATAAGAGACAAAATCTACAAATTTTTGGTTTTTATATGATGCCTGTTTAGAACTAGTTGGTTCCAATTTGAGATCAATGATCCCAGTGGAAGCCCTGACTCTTGGCCACCAGGGGAGGCCCAGAGGAGACCAAGGCAGGATGGGCCTGGGGCAGAGCCCTGGGAGCCATGTTGGGGGCAGAGTTGGGAGAGTCCCTAAGGGTCAGCGCCCAGTGGGGAGCAGGAAGGGGAATATCTGCTTCTCCTTTGCCTGGCTCTCTTCCACTCTGTCCAGGGGTCTCCAGGAACCTCCCAGTGTTGCTGTCCCCCTGCCACGCTCTAGATGAACTGCCACCCAGTGGGTGAGGGTGCTGCACACTTGCCCTGCTGACATCTGAGGACCCTCACAGCCCAGGGGGGGGGGTCTTCATCAAAGATGACTGCCTTAATTACGGAAATTTTGACAACTCTCTCAGTTAGGAAGAAGTCTCTAGAAGACCTGCCTTGGTGTTCCACTGCTAAGAGTGCCTGGTGCTTCCCAGAGAGCAGCACCACAGTCCCTACGTGAGACGCCACGGCCCTCTCCCACTGCTTGTCTTGGCTGCCTGGCGCTTATTTCAAATCAGAAACCAATCATCAGCAGCAAAATAAAATCTGTATCAACACCGCTGTCCTGCTCTGGGAGGACAGACGTTCCACTGGGGAGGTTAACTTTGTCAGGTTAATGTTAGCTTCTTAGCAAATTCCAGCTCACACCGAAAACCCTGAAGGAATAGTGATTATCACCAAGCTGTGCCACATTTCTGCATAGGATCTATCATAGTGTGCCAATTTGAGCTGCAGATTTGATATTAAAGATGTCTTGACTGCAGAGTGCCATAATAATTCAGCCCACAATAGGCAACTGATGGAGAAAATAACCAGTCAGACCAGGAAGGAAGTCCTCCATGGTGTAGCTGGACTGTCCAGGAGGTCAGGTTGACTGGATGTGCCCTAGTTTGCCCAACATCCAGATGAGAAGTGACAGGTCCTTTATGTGCAGACATGAACAGATCATCTTGTGACTCCAGAAGTTCTGGATACCTCATTTCAGTCAAAAGACCTTCCCCGAGCAGTTGCCATACAGTGAGGCCTGGGATTCTGACAGGATTTGCACACAGCTCCTGGCTTGGGGGGCTCACCACCCAGGGCAGAGGAATTGAACTCAACCAGTTAAGTTCAACACCTGCTGTAACTGCAGGGCTGTGGTGAGTGCAGGTCTCCACAAAAGCAAGGAGTTGGGTGGGGGACATGGCTCTGCAGACTCCTTGGGGACAGAACCCTGAAAACCTGGAGGACAGGAGGACACAGGCTCACAGTCGTGGTCATGTGCCTTCTCCTTGGTTTGGATCTTGTGTGTTATGCAAACATAAAAAACTTAAAAGAAGTCATTTCTCTGACTTTGGTTTTTGAAAATGTCATTAGGGGTCAATGGGTGTGATGTATAATATTTCCTCACCCTGGCAACAAGGACAAAGTGAGTCACTCACATGTAGAACATGGGGTCATTTCAGATGTCACCCAGCCTACATGCCGTCCAGAACATATATTTTTACAGAATCATTTTGACAGAAAAAACTTTTGTGAAAGACATTCTGTTCGTGTGGCACTGGACCTTTACTCTTGGTCCCAAGAATGGTTTTGCAGTAGGTATGTGGCACTTTGAGCACTTGCATTGCAAGGACACTGAGTCTCTGAGGCTAGAGGTAGAATCACCTGGACACTGGCAAAGAAACCCTGCTTGACGGGGATCTCAGGGAGTTGTCCCTGGTCTACTTGTTTTAAGAATCCCTCCCAGATACCTAAGACCAAGCAATTCTAAGTCTGGTGATGACCGCCAGCCTCGCCATGGCCAGATGCTAGGAGGGACGCTTACATTGCCATGCTGGGCATTGCTTCAAGCTCCAGTGCTTAAAGTTAAACTAGTTTATTGGGAATAGCTCTAGATGCAACCTTGAAAATGAACCCACACAGGCTGGAAGAAGGCATCAGGACCCACTGGCCCTCATGCCCTCGAGTCAATGACCAATCATACACTGTAGGAACGTCACCCCCATCTGGCCTCTGTGCCTGTCAGTCTCCACCAACCCCATTGTTCCCAGGAGATCAACAAAGATAAAAATAACTAGGAATGGGCTGGGGCTGTAGCTCAGTGGTAGAGCGCCCCCCCTCGCACGTGAGAGGCACTGGGTCTGATCCTCAGCACCACATAAAAATAAATAAAGATATAAAAAAATTAGGAAAACAAATATGCTGCAAAAGCCGGTTGATTGCAAAGAGAAGAAGAAATGAAGTCGATGTCTACGGAACACATGCAGACATCTGCCTGCCACCCCACACACCTGTGCCCTCACACAGGGACACTTCCCTAGAGAAGAGCTACTCCTCATTTGCCCTCAGAAATGTAACCATGCTGAAGGGGGGAGAGGATAGGACACAGGTGTCCTGCAGGGCTCAGCCACCCTTCTCTCAAGACAGCCCTGGCAATATTCCTAGAGGCGGGCACCAGAGGCCACCCACCAGGAGGGTCTGAGTCATGCTCTGAGATCTGTTGGCATCACAACCCCTTCCAGGGTTGCCCTCTTGTCCACAGATTCAGAAGATGCCCTGATCAGGCCCCTAGTGGCCAGTGTTTGAGAGGGAGGGGAAGTGTGGGTGCCCACCCACCTACCAGGCCACTGGCACTTCCCCCCAGTGTCCGAGGACTTACAGAAAACTAGAAAGGCAGGTGGCAAGTGGGCCTGAAGGGGTTAACCATCCCTGCTCAGGGAGCCGGATGTCCAGTGCCACTGCTTTTGTCCCTTGCTCCACCAGCCAGCAGTCCAGTCCTGCCTCCCAGCTGTGGGGCCTGTGGGCCTGCACTCCCCTCTGTGGCCGTGTGTTCCTGGCCTCTTTCCGGGGGTTGCCAGAATCAGGGCAATTAGTTCCAATTGTGAGGTGGCTTTCCTGACTCAATGCTTGCCCCTCAAAGAAAGGAAAAGAACGGCATGTGTTTGCTAATTCCATAGCAGAGAGCAGCTGTCAGATGCGGGAGGTTGGTTGCCATTCCATTCTTGCTAACTTTTGCTGCATTTTCTGCTTTCATTGTCTGAGTTCTGAGGCAGGAACTGGAAGGAAGACACAGCTGTCATACCTGGGTGGCAGGGAATTCAGGATGCTGAAGAGCAATTTCACCATGTAGCAGTTAACATTAAGTCGAACTGTCCCCTTAATACAGGGAAAGTAGGAGCCAACAGCCCCAAGTTGACTCTTTTGAAGATCACGCCTACCAATTCCTACCAAAAGTCAAAGAAAAGAGCTGCCCTCTACTGTCCCTTCCTGATTTACTCTGAAAAAAATGGAATGTTAACCAGTTTTGAACGAACATTTACTGCTTTTTATTAAGTGTGCAAAGCAGAAAAATACTTCAGGGCACTTCGAGTGTCTGGGACATAAGATATGTTTTTCACACTGAAGCTTCTGTTTTCTATTGAGTGTTCAAATTATTTCTTTGGCTCTCAAACTTTGCCAAAGAGAGGGCTCCTATGTCTCTTCCAACTTCTGGTGGGATCCCCAAGTTTCCCTTGAGAAAGCTGCTTTGCATGGAATGGGAAGTGACCCCACCTTAACAGTGATGAGGCACTAAAACACGAAGGGCCTGACCTGTACCTCTGGCTAGGTGTGTCCGCCTTGGTCTTCCTACTCCTCCTCTGAGGTCACTTTCCTCTAGTTTCACAACAGGTGACAGGTGTATGCTAAGTTAGAACAAACACGATATCCCATGAAAGGTGGGAGAAAGAGGCAAGAGACTCAGCTAAGGTCAGGGACAGGTGTAGCCCCTGCCAGGTGGCCCCTGGCCCCTCAGGCCTGCCCACCTGGCTCCACCACAGGGGCTCATGGCCTGACTGCACTCTAAGTCTGACCCACTCTTAGAGCCCTTGACTAAGTGCAGGGCAGAGAATCTGGTGCCGGGGATCTTACCACCCGTGCCAGGGATCACCATGGGAAAGCACAGAGCAGCCCCCTCATGTCGGAGGACAAGGTGGTGGGAGTGTCCCTGTGAGCTGAACTTAGCTCCCAGGCCCAGCTGGGGAGTGAAGTGCTCCGTAGCCCAGGATGGTGAGGTCATCTCCACGTCAGCTGAGCTGATAACTTCCTCTGCTCCCTTCCCCCCTGGGTTCACAAGGGACATGTGGCCATGAGCAACACCCAGGATCCCTGCCTCCCTTTCCCCTCTGACTCTCTTTCCTGCCCTTTCTCACTTCCATGTCCCCCTCTCCTTTCTGCCGGTGTCCCCTGTTACTGCTCACCGCCGCTCCCAGCTTCTCCTGCTTCCTGTCTACAGCAGCTCCTTGCTCAGGGCTCAGCCACAGAGGACCAGGACACCCGCCCCTGGGCCACCTTCTCTCTTCCCAGGAGGGTCTTTACAGTAAGATCACTCTGCCACCCACCTCTGAGGGCCTGTCTGGGATGCCCAGCTGCGGACTTGCTGGCCACAGCTCTTTTATGCCCACTCTCTGCCCAGTGGGAGGAACTTGCTTCCCTCACAGGGCACTGCTGATTAAAAAGCAAAAATTGTATATTAAAAGGTGATCAAATGGACTGTCCAAACTAGTTTAAGATGTCCCAAACTAGGGTGAAGACCTGCTCCTGCCCAAGAAGAATGCCCGATCTGTTGTCGTCAGCACACCCTGATCAACAGTGGGCGAGAAGTGCGTGCAGAGGGACACTGACAAAGCCCCTCCAGGAGGTGGCTGTCGATGACGTCAGTGTTCACCCCTCCTCAAACACTTGGGGGGGGCTGCCAGGCAGGAGGGGGCAATGCACTTTTGTTTTCATGGGGACAATCTGGGCGCCTGGGCAAAGCTGTGGGGAAGCAGATTTGGGCTCAACACAATGAAGAATTTTCAGTAATTGAGGCAGTGCAGGGGAGGACATTGTAGAGAGAGGATGTCCCCTCATGGAGGCTGGAACAGGTTCTGGCAGCCCCTCCCTGGGAGCCCTCAGCACACACAGCCCTGGAAACAGGAACGTTACCTAGCCCGGCTGCTCTCTGTTCTCTAAAGCTGTGCTGAGCTACAGGTCTGAGAGTCTCCAGGCTCTCTCCACAGGGCCCTGGGAAGCTCGAAGGGAAGGAGGGTTTACTTGCCACTCCACCCTGCCCCCTGGCTCTGGTACCTGGCAATTCCCTATGGTTTTCTTAGTGTGTTGCTCTCAGCTCTGAAATCTCTCCCAAGTCATTTTTTCCTTATGACGTCATAGGCCTTCCTGTAACACTGAACTTAAAGAGGGGTCATCTGCTCAGGGAAGGAGGGGATGAGTGACTGGGCGTGTGGTGTGGGCTGCCCAGTCAGGTCGCTTGTGTCATAGCAAAGAGGCAGCTGGAGGAGACCGAGGCCAGGGAGGATGGCTGCTGGTGGTCAGAAGCTGTGAAGACCCTGTGGTGCATGGCCCAGGGGTCCTTTCCTGTACAAGTCCACACCTGGGGCCCCTGTGCACCCAGGATAGATGCAGCTAGGAGGGGTCTTGGAGAGATGCAAAGGCTCACCCAGGGGTCTGACTCCCAGCCTCCTCCAGCGTCGGAGCCCCGTGGCCTTCAGGCCTCTCCGGCTCCAGGGTACTGGAGTCTGGGCCCAGGACCAACAAGCATGCTGGTTTGTGCCTGCAGGCGTCCTTCCTGCCTCCACTGCTAGCCTTGGGCTCCCTCCCCCTAGTGCCCTCCATTCCCCCTTCCTTCCAGCCTTCCCTCTCACTGGATTTCCTGCAAAGCCACAAGGTGTATGGGTTCCTGGCTGCACACAGGTGTGACCAACCATTTAAGTATCTTCAAAAGAAAGCAGGGGCAGTGCTTAGAGCCCAAGGTTTGGTCATGATGAAAGTGCCATAAATCCCACTGCAAGAATGTGAGGCCAGCATCAGTGATGGAAGGTCGCAGGTATTCAGGACACTGCCAAGGAACTTAAGAATCGGGAGAAATGTCCAGTTATCTGCAGTCAAGCACGGAGAAAACAACTGGCATTCAGGGAGGAATGTGGTCTTGTTTATACAGGACTGAAAGTGCATAGCTACTCTGACATCTGACGGTCACCAGCCCAAATACCTGGGGCGGGAGGGAGAGGCGGAGGAGCGCCTGGCTGGCCGGCTTCTGCCCTCTGTGCTCTGCACTCACCAAACATTGTTTTAGTTTTAGGGATGTTGAACAATTCTTCCCAAAAAACTCTGCATTTGGTGGCCATCCTGTTCCTGGTCCTCAGCTTGTCCACTTCGCTGCTGAGTTCGGGCTTTACCTTCTACAACAGCATCAGCAACCCCTACCAGACGTTCCTGGGCCCGACAGGGGTGTACACCTGGAATGGACTTGGCGGTGAGTATCCCCAGAAGACCCTGTGCTCCACGGAAACCGCACCCTTCTAGTCTCCATCTCAGCCTCTCTCCCTCACACACATGGACACACAGGTCACACGGTGGTGACAGGAGTTAGTGTGTCCCGGGTCTGTGGTGGGGTACTTCAGCACCTCTGGATGTAGAATTCTGTTTCCAATGCTCTGGCAATTTGCAAGAAGGGAGGTGAAGAGAGGGCGTGACAACGGCAACGTGAGCCACCTTTGCTCTTGAGAATCTCACCTTGAGTCACATAAAGCACACTTAAGTCAAGAGAGCACTCACTGGGCTCCTGCTGTGTAACTCCAAACCAGGCTCCATGAGATGTGCAGAAGTATATGCCATAAATCCCATTGTGTATACACAAGCACATGCGCACACATGTATGTATATGTACACATGTACATAGGTGCGTGCACGCGCACACACACACACACACACACACACGCTTATTTACTCCCCTCTGGCCTCCACTTAACCAGTCAACTTGGGCTCCTGAGATGTCACATCTGTGTCGTTGTGCCACTGAGCCAACATGGAGTCATTTAGGAGCCTCTGGGCCGACGCCCTCCTTGCAGGCTACCTGAGTCCTGGGCTGCTGTGGTGTTGCCAGGAGGTTTGGTCTGTTTCATGGTCGGGTGTGGGATAGTAGAGGGAGCCCAGATGGGAAGTGGGTCCTGGCTCTGCCTCATGGTATTTTGGACTCTTGCTGTGTTTTCCAGGGCGCTGTAGCTGCCACAGCTGCCCGGAGCTGGGCCAGGGCCAGTGGAGGGTCTCTTTGTCCTGTCCCACCTTCCTCTGAGGCCTTGCCCCTGCCAGACAGCAGGTTCCTCTGCTACCTTCCTCTGTCCTCCTCCAGAACTGGGTTAGGGAGCAAAGGCCATCCTCCTGGGACCAAAGGGGGCTTCGGGGTGCATCTTGACATGGGCCAGAGACCCGAGCTAGGAAAGATGCTCTGGATATCGAGGTGTCCAGAAGCCTCAGAGGAGAACCATGGGCAGCTTCCTCCTGTCCTTCTGTGGAAGGCCGTCTTTACCACTGCCTGGCATAGGTGGCTGGAAGGCGCTCATGTCTCCATGCCTTGGCTACACCAGAAATGAGAGGAGAGAAAAGCCCTTCCTGTGGCAGGTTGGCATGGTTGGCACACCTACTGAGGACACTGAAGTTCCCGCTGGAGGTCCCTGAACCAGGGGTCCAGACCACCAGTCAGCCCCAGCACAGTGCAGGTGGCAGGATGAGGGATAAAACTTCTGGGGACTTCTAAGTTGTAAGCCAGGATGACAGGGGGCTACCTGTCCAGGAAGACTAGGGCACGTGGTCACATGACATGCTAGCCTCAGCTCCGAGCTCTCGGGTCAGGCTGGCCTGGCAACATCCATACACAACTGGCTCTTTCCTTCCGTGCTGTTGTTACCTAGGGGTCAAAACAAGCCCCCAACTTCGTGGTGCACACTTGGGGCCAGGGACAACAGCCTGCAGAACGGTCCTCACTGTGGCCTCTCTGAGGGGGCTGAGCACCAAAGGGGAAAGGACTTGGTGCAAACCTAGACATACTCACCCGAAGCCAGGGCCCTGGCCCCCAGCTGCTGCTGTGACTGTGGCTGTCCTCAGCCAGCCGAGCCAGGCAAACCCCTGGACCTCCTCACTGGGGAAAGGGAAAGCACTTTTATTCCTCCTCAAGCAGCTGAGAATCTTAGGGAAACAGAGGCTTTGGCATGGCTGGGTTCGGGTCTCAGCCTGAGTCCTCAGAGTGCTGTCTGTCCCCTTTGCCCCCTCCAATTCCCCACATTTGCTCAGTTCTGGCACAGCCAGCTCTGCTCTCGTAGGGGTCAGGTGGCTCTGGCAGCAGCACCTCATGAGGAAAGACCTGCGGGTTCCCAATGGTCAAGAGGGTATCCTGGGCCCAGAGAGTATCCTAGGCCAGCCTCTGTAGCCAGCAGGGTTGAATTCACGTAAGTGTTCACCAACTGGCCAAGGACACCCGAATCTCTGGAGCTGGGCTGGGCTGGGCCCTTCTCCAGCCCCAGGAGCACGTTGGGGAGGACCAGTGGGTTCCTGGAGGAGAAGCAGGAGTGGGTGTTCAGTGGAGATGCTGTGGCCACACTTGGGCGTCGCACTGTAGGCCTGGCAGCCTGCTTCCACAAGGCTGCAGCCCCTGGTGCCCTCACCTCCTCAGCTGGACACAAGCTGACTTTGCACATGTCAGAGGCCCCATGTGTGTTTGTAGAGGAAACATGAAAATAGGGTCAGAGAGCTTCCCCTCAGCCCGCTCACTTCTTCTGTCTCTAGAGACTTCACACACACACACACACACACACACACACACACACACAGGCTGCGAGGTGGGTGGGAAGATGGTCTGAGATTGATGTGTAAGGAGCTGAAATGCATTCTGACAGGAGCTGGAGGAGACCTGGCCAGCTGTGGCTCTTCTAAATGTCCTGTGCAGACGTTGGGTCCCAACGCCTCATAAGCCAGACTTTGCCCTCAGTTTGCCCTCTGGGGACTACTGACATTTTTTCCTGCTTGCAGGATTGCAGAATTTAGCAGTAACTCTCAGTTTGCAGGAGGCTGAGTCTGCAGGAGGGCCTGTGTACAGAGACTTCACCAGGCACCTTGGCCTTGGATTGCTGTGGGCCCGAGTCAGTCACCTCTGTGCCCTGGGGCCAGAGGGGAGCACTGCAAACCCCTGGAGGCTGGGTTTGTGCACATTCTCCTGGGCTGGCATTTGGTGGGCAGGGTCCAGCAGGGCAGAGGAGGAAGTGGGTTTCTTTCTTGTTTCTGACGGAGAGTAGCATCTCCATGGTCTGGTGCCCTGTGACCCAAGACCCTCTCTGCAGCACACTAGCCTGGTGTGGCTGGGCACTGGCCACACAGGGAAGAACCGCATACTCAGAGAAGGTTGGAGCCAGAGACACTCACAGACTGGTGGCTTCAAATACATTTATGCCTCAACCAGGGAGCCCAGGAAGCAACTAAGCAGGTCATATGACCTAGGGTGACAGGCCAGGACAGAAGCCTGAGTCCCTGAGCCTTCAGGAGCTCGGCATCAGCCCTGGGGCTTCCTCTAGCTCCAGTAAATTCTTCTGTCCCAGATAGCTGGAGATGCCAGGCAGCTGGAGGCTGCAGTGGAGCCCAGGGCTCCCGGCATCTCACCTCCAGAGGGACTCGGGTCAGTCCTGAGTCGGTTGGCTGCTCCTCCTCTGCAGATCAAAGCTCTGGACAGGCACGGAGCATCCTCCCCTGTATGATTCAGCCCTCTGAGGAACTTCACAAGGGGAAAATGAGGGGCAATTAAGGCAGGTGAGGCTGGGGAGCATCAGAGGACTGGGCTTTTGTTCACACAAATAATTAAGAAATAAAGCCATTGTTTGAGGATGAAGCCTGTCATCAGGGACTGTTAAAATGCTCCCCTCGCACAAACCTCTCTAATCAGAGCCTCTTGGATACCATTTGGGACACCTCCCGGCGTGTGGGACACGCCAGGACGGGTCTGACGCCAGGGTGTCCACTGCACTCTGCACGTTGCCTGGGTCAGCAGATAGAGTATCCTGGGGATCCCCCTGGTGGCCACATCTCAGTCAGACCCTGCCTGGGCCAGTCTCCCCTGCCTTGCCACGGGCCTGAGAGTCTGCACCCTTCCGCTCCCTGCAAACCTTCTCAGCAGCAGCGTGGTTGAGAAACGGGTCACATGCATGTCGTTTGGCCACCTTCAGCCCACCACTGGACAGGTTTCAGTATGTCCTCAGACATGTGTGAGGCCACAGCTAAAGGGCTGCTTTTTGAGTCTTGAGTGGATGTGGAAAGACGAGCTCTGAATCTCTCTGTGTGGCCACAGCGTCTCCACTGGGCACCCACTCCTGCTTTACCACATCAACTTAAGACTCAAAAAGAAGCCCTTTGGCAGTGGCCTCCTGCCATCAGGAAGCAACCATGGGTCTATATTTTTGTCCATCCTTCCTGGTTAAAGGCCAAACCCACTGAGTCGTGCAGAATGAAATTCAAGCCCCTGAGCCGGCTGAGGCTGTGCAAGGGGTCCTATCTCCACCCCCAGTGCTCAGGACCCTGCTGACCGCTGCCATCACAGTCCAGGATGTGGGGGCTCGCTGCCCACCTGTCATTGCTGCTCCTGTCGCCTGCCACGCTGCTCTTCCCTTAACCTTTCCCAGTCCTGTCCACCATCCAGACCCCTCTAGACTCCTGCCCTACTCGTGCTGCATGCGGTCACCCATCTGCCGGTGCACTGGGCTCTCCCACTGCATGCGGGTCTGAGGAAGCACGTCACCTGGTAGACCAGGGGTACACAACGGCTGCCGGAAGGACTAGAGCTGGAGTATCTACTCTTGGGCAGAACCAGCCTGGCACACCCCCAGCACTTTGTGCCTAGAACCTAGTTTGTGTCTTATATTTAAAAAATATTCTCCCCAAATACTTGAAAGAGTGTAAACTCCCGTGTAGATACTCAATAAACACTCTTAGAGCGTGTGTGTCCACACAAAATACAACACAGGGCTGGGGATGTGGCTCAGTGGTCAAGTGCCCTTGTGTCCAATCCCCGGTACCCCCTCCCCCCCAAATGACAAAACAGGAGCGTGTCATCGTGTCATTAGGAGCTTTGTTCTCTTCCCAGCATCCTTCATTCTCCTGACCATGCTGCTGTTTGTGGGGAACACACAGTCCAACCATCTCTCCGGGGAACTGCTGGAGAAGCTCTACCCAACAGTCACTAGTGGAGGAACGACCCACAGCTACGGGTACTCATTTTGGCTCATCCTGCTGGTCATTCTTCTTGATATCGTCACCGTGGTCATCATCATTTTCTACCAGAAGGCCAGATACCAGCAGAAGCAGGAGCAGAGAAAGCCCATGGAGTATGCTCCCAGGGACGGGATTTTATTCTGAATTCTACTTGGGGTCACTTTGGCGTTGTGTCTGTTTGGTGGACGTCAGCTCCCCGAGCAGTGGCAGGCAAGCTTCTCTGGACAATCAATATGGAAAGATGACTGCCATTTGTGATTTTTCTGACTGCCATTTGTGATGACTTTTCTCTCCCCGGACACCGTGTTCTTCACAGAGACCGTTGCCTTGGAAGGGGTGGGGAAGAGGAGTGGGGAGGCCATGTCTAGGCAGTGCTCCCTGCTGCGGAGGGTCAGGAGCCGGTGGCCTTCCCACCATCTGAAACAGGAAAGGTCCCACACCTTCCCTCTGACTAGCCAGGAGCACTTTAGCACCTGTCACCTGCTGTCTGCAGGAGGGGGCAGGTATTTTCATTCTGCTCTAAGAATAAAGACTTCCAGGTACAGAGAGATTCAGAGCTTGTCTTTCCACATCCAGGGGTGGGCAGTAAAAGGACTCAGGAGGAAGTGACCTGGGTTTCTGGTTCCTCAGTCGCTGGGTTTAACCCAAACCCAGCGGTGAGTCGATAAGTGATCCTGAAACCTATTCTTGAGGTTCCAAGGTGTGGTTTTGGGTGGGAAGAGATTAGAAGTGAAACCAGGGAAAAATAAAAATTATAGCCTTTATTCTTTTTGTTAAAAAGGATAAGTATTATAATTTTGGTTTAATGGGATCGTGGTAAATTCAGTCAAAATAGAAATGAAATATCTGGGCAAGTTATACTACCACCCCATGAACCAACCCTCTGCTTAGTTACTGCGGGCAGATATAAGCGTGCTGGGCAGACGGGGGTACTGCCCATCAGCACCCTCCTGCCCAGCCGGAAGCCGAGGGAGAAGCAGGTCAGAGCCTGTGGCTTGCAGTTTCCTGGGCAAGGACCAGGGCCCACCCGGAGTTCAGGGGCTGGGGAAACCCTCCAAGAGCAGGTGGGCGGAACTGGTTTGTACTTTCCCAAGAAGACAGTTGGGCAACCAGGAATAGAGAACTCAGTCACCTACCTGCCAGTTAGGGTAACTTCCCAGAAAACCACCTGAGCCTGCCTATTCCCCAGGCTGGCCGGGTTGGCTTCCGACAGGGCTGTGAGCCTGGCTGCACCAGGGCTGAGGAGAGCAGGTTTGCTGGGGCAGTTTGCCCAGCAGCCGCTCTAGACAGAGGACCCACCCTTCACCAAGCTCTCTGGGTGACATCCTCCTCTGATTATTTTCAGGGTCTGTCTTACAAACATGCCCTGGGCACCTGGGATGAGGCTGCACTGGGCTAACCTGAGCATGTGCCCTGTGGGGTCCCTGTCCAGCACTTAAGACCGAGGCCAAAAAGCCACGGCTCGATTCCACTTAAAATACGTCCTCAGTCACAATGTTGTGCTTGTTCTTTGAAACGTCACTTCTCTCTAACCCTTACCCTAAAGTCCTATCAACTCAAAGTTACTCTGATCTGTTAACCGATGACAAAATTTAGAACACATTTTTAAAAATCTGGTCTTCAACATTAAAATGTTCTCAATTCCTCAAGCCCAGAAGCGTTTGTTATTCCTTGAAGATTTGGGTTTTATATCAGGTTTTGATGACATAGACAGGAGACGAAGAGGAAAGAGTCACAGGTGACAAAGTCCTGCAAATGACCGCCCAGTAGGCAGGCCCTCATGTCTCATGCCCATGCCTGCCCTGCTGGGCAGGGGAAAGTGCACTGCACTTACTAATCTCAGGACAGGAACAGAGCTTGGTCTCCTCGGGGAGAAATTGTCCTGATCCTCGCATTCCAGATGAACTTTGGAACCATTTAAAGCCCAGGAATAAGGTGAATGGAACTCAGTTGTCAAAGGCTGGCCTCATGATAACTGAGGGTGCTGTAGCTCTCTAGGTCTAGTCCTTCTCCCGGCCCAGGATGAAGCAACCAGCTCCCAGCACCTGGACACAAGTGTGGGCTCCACTGTCTACACCTGGAATCTCAGAGCCAGCTGTGAGATCAAGGTCCTGCCTCCTGGCTTCTCCTGCTTATGACTGAAAACGAATAAGTAACAGGATGATCTTTGGGATTAAGTAGGAAGTCCTGAAATCATGCTGCCTGTGGTCTGCCATTGACTCAGAGAAGCCTCACTTGACTCGTCAGTGAGAGAGGACAGCAAGGGCAAGCCTAGCTTCCCGGCTATGGTGAGCCTGGGCCTCCGGGGCATGTGCCCAGGTGGCTGGCAGCCCTCCTCTTCCTCATAGAGCTGCAAGTCTCTAGCTCAGGGTGAAAGGGTGAGGGTGGGCCCATGCTGCACCCTTAGCTACTGCAAGTCACATTAATTCTCTTGTTCTAGAGGAGACACGTAATAAATAGGCAACTGAAGCAGGGCGGTTAATAGGATTGCCAAGCACCCAAGGCGGGCAGGTGGCAGAGTAGGACCCCAAGCAAGGCCCTTCACCTGCACTGACCCAGGTCCACAAATACTGTGTGCATCAGACCAAGGGAAGGGCTGCAGTGTCACCAGGAATGGAACCATGAAAGGCTCCTCCCCCAGCACTCCCTGAACAGGACACATGGCGTCCTCTGTGGGCCCCAAGTACCTAAGCCCAGTCATCCTACCCCATTTGTGGCTCCCATTCCTCCAGATCAAGGAGGCTCAGACTGATAAGGCAAAGGCACCCACTGGTTTCAAGTCAGGCTTCAGGTGGACTTGGCTGCTAACCAGAGCTGAGGGGATCTCCCCACGGGGCCTGCTGCTCCCTGAGAAAAGGACTTTGTCATTCTTAAAGCAGAAAGATAGGGCCCAGGTGACTGATGGGAGCCAGGGCACTGGCTTATCAAACCTGCCCTGGGGGGAGAACAGAGATGTGGGGCCGTCAGTGGCACTTGAAATGTCCTGCAGCCTGACCCTGGAGGAGCTGTGGCTAGACGGGAGCACCGGGCTCCACCCCTGCTCCTTGGGGCTTCCTGCTTTGTGTCCTCCTGCTGCCCAAAGACACTGAACAAGAATTACAGCATCGGTTAGCTTTAAAAAAAGAGGATTTGTATCTGTATCTAACTTCAGGCTGTGAAAGTTTCATTTTCAAAATGCTTAATTGCTTAGTAAAAAAGAAAAACGAATGTAGAAGTGCATCACATTTCATAATCGTTCTTTTTAAATAAGTTTCTTTAAAACAAGAGCAGCCCTCCTGTTTTAGATCCCTTCCTGCCAACAGAAGGGTAGACTTGTAACTTTTTTTTTTTTGCATTTTATTATCATTATTATTATTATTAGATTTTATGGTTATACATAGTAGTTGGATAGACTTCTAAATTTTTAACCTTGGCCCTGGTAGAAAGACCACTCCCCTGGCTCTCTGGAAGCTCACCCACTCCAACCAAACACTGGGTCCCTGTCCATCAGTGTTCTTATAGGGGACACGTGGCTGGGGCCAAAATCCTGACAGGCCCTGGGTGTGTCTGAGAAGGCTATCGAAGCCTGGAGTTCAGGTCCAACAGAGGACTTTGGCCCCCATCAGTTACCTCCAAGCACATGCTATTTTGAGTGACAACGTGTGCTGGATTCTTGCAGGTAAACATTCACCCTTTGATTAAAAACATAACCAGTTGCATTAGACCCTGAAAACTGCATATTCTCTTCCCTGGCTTCCTAAGTGGTCCGTGGATTTAAAATAGTCCGCCCTCTTTCTGAGGACCGCATTACAATCCAACCAGGAATCACTATGCTGGGGGCAGTTGGTGTAGAGAAGAGAGTGTGCACTGTCAAGAGACTGAAGCCCAGTGACAACCAGGGGAAGAAATGTTCTTGGACCACTTGCTGCATGTGAGACAGAGAGGCAGGGGCTGGGGTCCCAGCAGTGTGCGTCATTGACACAGGGCTTATGGAGCAGCTGGTCAGATGATGCTGAATCCACACAGCAAGGTCACGTGGAAATAGATTCCCAGGAGCTGCGGGGCATCTCCAAGGAAATCTAGACCACTGGGGACAACTTCCTGGAGACAGAGGTGACCTTAGCTCTACCACAGACTCTGTGACCTCGGCAAGACCTGAAACCAACCTTAGAAATGATCCAAAATAACCACTCGTCACACAGAAGTAGAGGAAACCCAGAATTACCTTTATCTGTTTCCTCACTTGAAAAATAAAACCAATAAAAGGGTAAGAGATTTAGGAAACTCAAAAGTTTTCTTTCTTTTTAATTTCATTGAGTTTGTTTTTAAGAAACACTTACATAAACACCAGATGTGACAGTTTCCAAACACACAGGTGTAGGGAGTTAATGTCTTCCAGGAGCCCGCCCTCCAAGCTCTGCTTTGTGGCGTCCTGCTCCCCGGGCAGGGGGTGGGGAAGAGCCCGCTGCCGCCCTTGGAAAGTCCTTGCTGCGCCCTGACAGGCTTGAGCATGTGGCAGCCGCTGCGACGATTCGCGCACCCTCCGGTACCGAAAAGTATTCAGTACTTTTTCAGCCTTTTGCTGCAACTTTTTTCCTGATAATCCTTTCTCCTCTGAACTTTCTTCTTTCTGACTAGAGTTCCTGGGCTTCCGTCAACACATGCCCTAACTATTCTTGGTTCCACTGGGGTGCCTTCTTCCCTTAGTAATTTACTTCTCACCCCTTCCATATTTTCGTCACAAAGACAATACAATACACTGAGACTAAACAAGACACAAACATGCTGTATCAATCCTCTCCATCTTCTTAAAATGGTCATTCTTTCTCTCGCCCTGTCTGCTTAGGGATGAGCAGATTTGCTCCCGTCCTATCTAGGGACGGGCAGCTTTTTTTTTTTTCGTCACTTACCCCCGAGTGTCCCGGGGCTCCCCGTAACGGGCCACCATCTGCCGCAGTCTGGCTACAGCAAATTAACCGGGGTGGGGGGTGACGAGGAACTTGTGTAGATTGATACAGCAGGAGTGGGAGCCGTTTATCGTAGGACAGGAGGGGTATATATACATTCCACACAGCTTATCTAATTATCATAAACTAGATACAGCAGTCAACCAATAAGGAATCTCCACACTTAATGGCTCGCTGGCGTTACTTCACAAACCACTC